CATGCACTACACGGGTCAATTTTTCGACAATCGCTCTTACATCTACAAGCAATTTCACAGCACACCAATTAACGCACGTTATTCCGATGGCTTCGATAACTCGACCATGACCTAAAATAATATCACCGAATTACCGAGGAAATGGCGCTTTACTTCTCAACCGAATTTTCCCTGAACTATACGTCAAATCTGTTTTGCACGTGTGGGCGTAATGAAATGAACGTCACAGCGCGCGCCAACCGACGCAGCGCAGCAGCGGCTGCCATTAATAACGCGGGTGGCGCGCTCGGTGCGAGAAAGGAAAGTTCCCGCAGTTGGCAGCGGTTGTTGGCCAAGGCCCAGGCAGAGCGATCTCGCGGCGGCGCGGCGCACTGCTGACCCAGTTGCCAGCGGAGGACGGCGCCGCCGCCGCAGCGTGCGGGGGCGCTCCCTGTCGGCTACGCAACAATGCAGATGCTATCGGCATCGGACGTGGCTCCCACTCTCGAAGCATATGGACGGGCAGCGGACCGTCCCGAAGAGTTTCCCATCGAAGTCTGCGTTCACGGGCGTGAAGGTCCTTTAATTTCTGACGCGTTTGAGCTACTGATTGTGAGCGGTTTCGTACAGTTTCTTGCTAAGCTGTGTCAGTATCATTTCTTCACACGAAGCCCTCTAAATTTTCCCATACTTTTCGCAAATGTTCATGATGTTCCGAGATGTTACTATGTTTTCAAAAGTGGTTCAGGATGTTACGCATAAAAGCATTTGCGATTTGATTTCTATATGACACTAAATATCCTTTGAATACCAAAGTATTTTGTAAAAATGTTAGAGAGAAGAGTAAAGTTTGAGATAAAACACGCAAAAATAGTTATTGTTTTACTCTTGAAACGTAAATAGTTGTCTAAAACAGTTTCGTCACAAGAATGAAGTTAATTATTCACATCAGCAATTGAATTCAAAAGTTTCTTGAGTAACATTTGTATTAAATAACGATGAAGTACAGCAGAAAATGAGATCTTGAATTATTTTAGAAATTCCCATCAAAGGCAAAAAGACAAGATTAGACTCGATTAAAAACTTTCGGCTGCGCGGGCCACACCCCTTCGAATCTTCGTGGTCTTCTTCAGAGCTGGAGTACCTCAGGAAGATCACAATATGGTGGTCGAAATGTTGGCATCACTGCCCTCCTCTACACTGCGTCGCCCGGACAGCCTAGATCTATCACATAACACTGACCGCAGAAGCCTACGATTGCTCTCTCAATTATATTTGGTTAGTTTTGCGTACGTTCGCACCGCGACTACGGAATTATTACGTATCTGGAGCGTACCCGCGCACCAACACATTCACACCATTGACTCGCGCACAGACACACAAACTACCCCGGTACTCACTGCCTGAAGGATCCCCAGCGCCGGTTGGGCAAGTTCTCGTGCTGGCTGCTGAAACAGACGAAACGACATCAGCGACCGGGTACTTACGTCCACCGACGACTCCGGGACGCTTCCGCTGACCAGTGTTATTCGCCGAGAGACCTTTCTTTCTCCGCTAACTGGCGGAAGTTACCTCACCTTAAGAAGTAGTCAAATTGAATCTTCATTGCATATTCATTAAATGTGTTTTTAAATTATCAGTAAAACGCATTCGAACAGTACTGGTTGCCGCCGCTTTCATTAAAATTCTTTTGATTTACTGTTCATATATATTCTCCCATATCAACACAAATGTCCTCGAATTTAATTATATATCAAAGAATGACAAAACCTAAAATTTTGATAATTTTGGTAGTTTTAGGAAATTGAGACTTCTGATTTCCAAGAAGAGACCAAATTATTTTCACGAATTTTGTCTAAAAATTTATTCGAACTTATTTTAATACTCAAGTAATAACAAATTTCGGAATGGTGAACGTCAATTTTAACATTAATTGCATTTCAATCCAACCAAATCAGGATCACAAAATTGATAATAAAACCATGCGTTTCCATTTATTTATTTCCATGGTAGGATGAAATAATCTCTTGAGAAGGCACAGTAAAGTGTTTCATAACTGACAAGAAATTGTTTCGTAAAAATGTGTGCTATCCTGATGATAAAAACAACGCATGAGCTGTTAACATACAAGCATTTGGAATTTAACTTGCATGAAGAGAGAAATCCAATTAATTTTGTTTAATCGAAGGGAAAATTATTTGGAACATGATCCAGTGAGTAATTAATTTTCATTGACAATGCAAGTTATTTAATAGGTGACAAAATGCAGTTTAATCCCGTTTATGCTGTCGAAGGTACTTTCAATAATTAAATAAACTACGAGAAGTACAGGTAAAGTGTTAAACAACTCGCATTTCACAAGTGCGTCACATTTCTGTAAAGAGAATAAATTTATATATATATATATATATATATATATATATATATATATATATATATATATATATATATATAAAGAGAGATAGATATAAAATATCCAGGTTTCACAGCAAAAACTTTCGGATTTAACACGCTGATACAAATTTTGAAACGCTGAGGGTGAGAGAACAGAATAATCGTTCAATCTCGCCTGATTGCCACGAATCTTGTCCCAAATTTCTTCGAAACTTGTTATTTTGATTAATGACATTTCGGAATGAAGGACATCAATTTAGACTCCATTGTTTATATTTAATACACGCCACAAATAAAAAAAACAAGTGACTTTGCGTTTGGGAGGGGAGAGAAGGGAAGAACC